TTTTTCTGCTGCTCAGCAAAGGATATACAGGAAGTCAAGTAGGGTTCTAAAGATAATGTCATATCCCTGTGGGTTTTATTGTGATAGTTCCACTGAGCAGCAGCACTGTGCCCCAGAAGAATAATGTGTAAGTATTCCACCTCTAAGACCGACATGATTATACTTTGCTCCCAACAAATGCTACCAACGAATATTAGCACAGAAATAACAACAGGCAACCCACCATCATCTCTTGTATTTCAGTTCTTGGAGGATGCAAGGCCACCAGTCTATTCGCACCTTAGAGGGAACACTCCCTACACGTACACACACACAAACTTTATTAGTGCAGAACCAACTGTGTCTTACTCTAATTCCCAAATTAAATAAAAGGAAACCAACTCTGTCACACATGAAAAATCAAGCAAAATAACCCACACACCAATATAATTCTAAGTATGAAGTGCAGGAGGACTGAGCATGAAATGCCCTGTCTATGCCTTTACAATAAGCAAGTTTGGTGACGGAATACAATTAGAAGATCGTTTAAAATGTTGAAAATATTCTAATCATGAATATTATATATTTTTTTAAAGACTACTGTTGTTACGCAGTCCTTGTAATGGGAGACATTTGACTTTTATTTGATGGTGATTTAGGTTAGATTCATTCCCTTTAACTGCCCAAATGGTGCTCACCCCAAAGAGCAGATTCACCAAAACCAGTACAATATTAAACTTGTATAATGGCACGTGATGATCTGCTGTTTACACTGTGAGGAAGACTTTCTTTTTATTGGGGTTGTTGCAAAACAGAATTTCTGTCTGTTCTTAATTATGTATTTTGTGCTTTTGAAAGCTGACTGCACTGCTTCTCTCGTTGTTAATATTTCGGGATATAAGATGAGCGCTCTGTGGGAGGTGGAACAATCTGTTTGTGGCTTTTTTTTTCTTTTTCTCTATTTTGCCATTTTCCACAATGCTGCTTTGGGAGCAACCCACAGATCCAGACAGAAAATATGATTAAGTCCATTATTTATCAGCAAAATTGGCTTTCTTAACTACTCCATATCAATAAACTCAGTCTGAGTGATTATCTCACCAATAATAATATTTGTATGGAGCTGACTAACCCCAATGTGTCTGTTTTGTAGTATGGTGGTTCATTAAATAATGAAGGCATCTTGCCTTCACTATTTAAATATCTTGTATTACACATGACAAGGCATAACAAAATCCTTCATAACTGCAAAACTACAACTCACAGAAAGATTTGCTGTGCTTCCTGATGACATTAACACTGTGCTATTAAGTACTACAGGTTAGGAAGAGGGCCAGCTGTACATAGTGACCAGCATCAAGGAAGTATTTGAGGAACTAATATGTGTGGACAGAGGAGGCGGAGTTAATGTGCAAAACATAATTTTTTTTATTAATTTTTTTTAAACGATACAAAGTGGGCATGCAAAAATACATCAAATTATTCATACCAGTAGCAATAAAATTCAGAAAAAGTTGTATTGGTGATTAGTTCTAATCAAATGGCAAAAAATGTCCAGCTGCTCAAATTTAAGTACACGATGACTTGGGCAGTGAGCCGAGTACAAATTAAACCAACACCAGAGTTCTGTGTCCAGGATTCTCCCTGCCCTATAAATCCTAATCCCAACAGAGGCCTACATACAAGAGTAAAAAAACAAACAAATACTGCGTAGTTTGTGGAATATAGTGTGGAGGGAACGGAGGCTGACTGGACACTATTTTAAAATTCTAATAAACAAAAATAGATATGTAGAATCCAACCCCTGATCTGAATCCATGCCAGTAAGATCAGCTGTACAGAAGTTGAAGTGACTTCCCATTGGGTCTTATCTGTCTGTATTCATTGTCTTTGCGTGTTACTTCCTGCTGTAGAAGACTGTTGTCTTCCTATTACCACTATTATAACTGTTAATCAGAGCTCCAGGAGCCATCCTGCTTCAAGCTACATCTAAATAATTTAACCTTTACATCTAAATACCACCTACAATTCTAGCACGTTGTAGTGGTTATGGCGGCCTGGATCCCATCTATTGTAAGCAATCAAACTGTTTTAGAATGGTTGGCATCTTACACTTGTCCCTGCCTCCACTACCTCAGTTAGAGAGCCAGAAGTTCTTTGTCTTAGCTCACCCCAGGTAAGAAATCAAACTGTTCTAAATTGGTTTGACTACTTACAAAGAGGGGTAAGGGGAAATCTGCCAGGCAATACTTGCACCATAACCATTACAGTGTGCTTGGTGTGTTCTATTAACCATAGAGGAGATATTAATTATTAATATTTTATTATTTATATAGCGCCAGCAAAATTCAGTAGCTCTGTACAATGGGAACAACTAATCAATGCAAACCATATAGCTCTGATCCAGGTATCAGTTCTCCTTGTTATCCTATGCACATTTTACCAGTTTTATTATTAAATGTAACCAACAGTTTTTTAACTTTAGGGATTTCCTTTCTAATTTGAAGTTCAGTGCTCTTTTTAAGTACATTGACATTTTTTGAACAGTGAAATGGTATCCATTCCTCACCACAGCCCAATCTGGACCTTCTGAGATCATCACGTGATTATCTTGTGTCCAATCCAATTCTTTGCATAGAGTAATATTGTGACCTACAGTGAATGCTTGACAATAAGAGTGTTTCTTTAACCAACCTATACTTTATTCCTGGGGCGCAATTTTTGGCCACCTCCTGTCTGATAATGTAGTAGTAGTCCTTCATATTTAGGAATAGGTGGTCCACACCACGGAATGCTTGTTCGGTCAGTAACAATATAACATCCGGCCCGCCATATATACTGCAGAGACTCACCTTACATTTTTAATGTATACACGTATGCTTTAACTTGGCTTGTTGTATCTGTAATTTAAAGTTATTTATTTCACTGATGAATAGCTTTTCAGACCTTGTTTTTAGATTCCCCCCTGCATCCAAATCCCTGCACAACACAGGCACAGCACCTAGTGGGTATAAATCAAGTAAGGAGCACAACCATAAATATGTACACACCAAAAAATCTTTATTAGATGGGTTCACAGTAAGTAAATCTCTCATTACGTATAAAACAGAGAAACATAATCATATACAGCTGCAAAGCAACTGCCAGAAAAACTGGCATAAACGCCAAATACGTAGTGCATGAATTGTTGAATATCAGTATCATAAGTAACTAAATCAGATACAAAATACAAAACACCAAAAAAAACAAATAAGTATACAAAAAAATACAAAAGTATACCAGACCTAGTGAGAAGCAGGGACAGAGTACAACACAGGCACAGCACCTAGCGGGAACATGACAGTGTATTGTGATTGTGCCTAACTCTGCATTTCATCTAAGATATACTGTGGTTTTCCTTGATAAATATAGCTCTTGGGATATAAATTAAACCCTCTGGCAATCATTAAACAGGTAGCTATGATTACCACACACATCAGGTAATAGAAGAAATTCCACTTTAACTATGATTTACAAGACTAGGAAATCCAGCCAATATAAGGCATCTCTCCAAGGGCTCGGCCGGTCGAGAGAAAGCTTTGGTGTTGAGTGTACAGTCAGGTAATTTCGAAATGAAGCCAAGTGAACCTTTTAATACAGAATGAAAGCAATGCACTGTACGCCATGACTCAGCTAGCTGGCAATAGTACAAACTGTACCATGGCCGCCTGGCAAGCTATTGTTTTCATTAACTGGAAATTATTTTTCTATATTGCACAATATTAGCTGATGAATAATCTCCAATCTGTAAGTGCCAAAAACCAACAATTACTCTTAGTATGAGCAAGTTGACATCTGAACCCCCAATGAAGAACCTCATGATAATGTATGAGCATTAAATGTTAATTACTAAAAAGTTTGAGAAGTAATTACAACGGCTGCTTTCTGGAAATCTTTGATTCCAATGTTGCAAGTCGTACTTTGTTTTCTCACATAATGGGGTTAAATTTATAAAAGTGAGGCAACAACAAAGCCAACAAATTCAGCAACATTCCATTTGGAACCCCAGAGGTGAAAGGGACAGTGTAGGTACCATAAACCCTACTGATTGAAGTGATTATGGTGCCTGGAGTCCACTGGTGCTGGACCTGCATCAATGTTTAACTGTTTACTTAACATTCAGCTGAAATGCTCAGTCCTCACAATCCTGCTCCCAGGTAGGATAGGGCAAATGCAGAACTATGTTCCAACTCACAGCATAAAAATCCATACCTAGGAATGGGGCAGTGATAGAGCTCAGCTTAGCTCTTAGCTTGATACCCATAGTATTGTATGATGACAAAGCATGCAGAACCCCCATTTTGTTTTTAATCTCTCTGTCTTTGCCTATTGGCCTTGAGATTGGAAGAGTATCACTCCCCATGGTTTTTAATATTATGTTTACATTTAACAAATATGTATTTGTGATTTGTGAAAAAAACCAAATGTAGATATTATATTTTTATTCTGCAAATGGGCTCCTTCCTCTTAGTCCCCTGTCAATCGTTGTTATAAGCGTTGTCCTTTGTATCTGGCAGTCTGAATAGAGAAATTGTACAAAGAAGACAAATTATACAATATTTACATTATTTCCAGTTCTCCTCTTCATTTGCAATGCTTGCCCTGAGCAGGATCATGAGGTTATTCGCTGCATTTTTAATGTTTGAAAGAGTATCTCATGAAAAAAAAATCTTTACACAAATTATGATTTTCAATGTTTTGTTCATTGGTGTAACTCTCAGAGAAGAGACCGTTCCCATGTAAGCACGGTTTTAAGTCAACAGTGTGTTTTCTATTTTGGTGAATTTATCAGCAGAAAACAAATTGTTGAGAAATATAGTTTTAAAATTTTTTATAAAGCCTGTAAACATTGGTCAGTGTAAGAATCATGCAGCCCTCCACCCCAATAAATCCCCACTCTGAGATAGGACAAAAACCATTTATATATATATATATTTCTATAGGGACCAAACAAACAAACAAAGGTATAAATAAAGGCAGACAGAGGAAAGCCTAAAAAATAGGCGATACACACAATAGTGAAATAAGAGTCATAGATAAATGGTGAAGAGGAAATTTTATATACCCCCTCTCAATTTCCTCTTTACCATTTATCTATGACTCTTATTTCACTATTGTGTGTATCGCCTATTTTTTAGGCTTTCCTCTGTCTTCCTTTATATATACCTTTATTGTTTGTCTGGTCCTTTGTGAAATCAAATGGCTCAAAGTAATCCCACCTTCTGTCAGGATCAGTTAGATTTGCCCCGATGACAGCCCACAAATGAAGTAAGAACAATAACATGAAGGTAGATCATCACTAATCCGAAGAGTTGGGAGCTTGTCAGTGGCGTACACATGACCCATGGGGCCCCGGTGCAAAAATTGATCCGTGGGCCCCCCCCCCCGTGCTTACTCAGCGCGGGTCGGGGTCGCAACACATGGTGGCGGGCACCTGGTCGCAGGGGTTGCAGGGCTGCGACCCCGCGACCGCGGTATGCACACACACTTAAAGGACCACTACAGATACCCAGATCACATCAGCTCAATGAAGTGGTCTGGGTGCCAGGTCCCTCTAGTTTTAACCCTGCAGCTGAAAACATAGCAGTTTCAGAGAAACGGCTATGTTTCACTGAGGGTTAATCCAGCCTCTGGTGGCTGTCTCATTGACAGCTGCTAGAGGAGCTTCCGCGATTCTCACTGTGAAAATCACAGTGAGAAGACACTGAACGTCCATAGGAAAGCATTGAGTAATGCTTTCCTATGGGCGGTTTAAATGCGCGCGCACCTCTTGCCGCGCATGTGCATTTTGGAGCTGAGTGGCGGACACTGGGGAGTCCGACGCTGGAGAAAGGCAAATGCTGAAGACACACACACACACTCTCACGAACAGACGCATACACACTAGCTAACAGACACACACATTTACTGACAGAGACACACTCAGTGACAGAGATACATACACACTCACTTACAAAACATACACTTTCACTGACAAACACACACTCACTAACAGACATCAAACACACTCAGTAACAGACACACACAGTAACACACTCACTAGCAGACACACACCCAATAACAGACACATTCACTGACACACACACTAACACACGCACTAACACAAACAAACACTGACACACTAACACACACACTAACACACGCACTAACACAAACAAACACTGACACACTAACACACACACTAACACACACACACACACACACTAACACACACACACACACTAACACACACTAACACACACACATTTTTTTTTTCAAATTTAATCCCCCCAGCCTCCTTACCTTTTGGAGTGCTGGGGGGATTCCCTGGGGTCCAGTGGTGGTGCTGCTGGGCTCCTGGGCGGCTGTTCACCGGGCAGGCGGGTGGCCGGTCCGGCGAGCGAGGGAGCACTTTCCCCTGTGTGCTTCCTCTTCAGCTCCCTCGCGCGCCGCGTAGGGATGCCGGCGCCGGAAGATGACGTCATCTTCCGGCTCCGGCATCAGTGCGGTGCGCGAGGGAGCTGAAGAGGAAGCACTGAGTGCTCCCTCGTGCGCCCGCCTGCCCGACCGGCCACCCGCCTGCCGGCTCCTGGGCCTCCCAGGGGAAGAGGCTGGCCCTGTGGGTACATACCGGGTCGCAGGGGCGGCCGGGCCCCATGGTGGGCCGGGCCCGGTCGCAGCCGCGACCCCTGTGACCCTGGTATGTACGCCACTGGAGCTTGTATCACTAGCGTTCCAGTATGATAGACCAGGGTTTGGTGGATATAACAATTACCTGAAGCTTCTGAGTAGGAAAGAGTTACACTTGCAGCAAACTTCTAGTTCAAATATTTCATTCTGGGCAGCAAAACGCAAATGTACAGGACTAACAAGAATGCCATGATAGCTTCACTCTAATACAAGCACTTAATCAACCGCACAGTATGAGAAGGCAAATGAAAGACATATAGAAAATACAAAACCAAGCCAATAGCTTGCTGGTGCAGGCACAGTAACACAGAATACGGGAACAATAACACCTAAAAAAAAAAAAAAGAGTGACTAATTATATTTAATAGGGTGCCACTTTAGGCTACCAACTTCCTAAATTTTAAGAGAAGCATCCATAATGAAATCTACCACTTTTGAAACAGAATGTGTTCTTAAATTATTCAAAAGAAAAATGAAAGCTTATCATAATAAGAATAATGTAGAAATATAACATTTGAGCCCCATTTAAACATTTCAGGATAGTAAAACTGCATTTTCATTTTCATTTTTGCATTCTACATTTAACAATAAAATGAGTAGTAGTTAATAATAATAATATTCAATATTTTTAATCTATCTATGTTAACTCTTTTCCTAAAAATATCTTACGCAGAAGGACCCAGTTTGTAAATGAATGATTATTTCTTAATATTACAGATAACCTGATTCTTTAACCCTTGTGTACTGCGTACAGAAGACTTTCAGGAGAAATTATGAATTTTCAATGTACGTCGTTCTAACCTTGTTCAATAAGAATGGGGAGCATAGTGTCTGGGTGAAAGGTGTTTTAGGTTTGCTTTTTCATATTTTCATATTTTATAACACAGCTGAAGATTTTTTTTGTAGTCTTAACTACGACAAGCTCTACGTAACGAGCATGACAAGAAGAGTGCAATATGGCATTACCTGTACACAGTTTTCTGAAATTATAGGTTCAGCACATGGCTGGGCAATCCTCCAGTCAGTGTGACATAGGAAAACAATCAATGGAGGTAATGGTCTATGAATTGCAAATGTCATAAGTAGCTCAAATTCAAGCCTCCCCTTCTGTCACTATCAGGCGAGACTGCCTGGTTTCAGACAGAGCAATATTGTGCATTTAAAGTGTGCTTCATACTGTATGTTTTTCATGTCCAAAATGACTACTTCCCTCGTTTGGCAAAAAAATTATTATTTTTATTATTATTAAATAATATTTTTGGATAAGCTTCCCGAATGATTTAATAGTTTTGGATAAACTTTAAAAAAGAACATTTTTTTTAAATATAAAACATTTTTTTTTTAAATACCATATTTATATATATCCATATATCAAATAATATCAAAATATTAAATCATTTTAAGCTTATCCAAAAATTTCAAATCATTGGAAAAAGTTATCCACCAATATTACATTGAGGCCCACGTTAGCCAACTATGATAATTGATGTTTTTTTATATATGTTACAGCATATTGTTTTATCATAGTTATATAGTACTTAGTTACATAGTAATAGAGGCTTAGGTCCACCAAGTTTAGCCTTTCACAAAAAATACTAATTTGAAGGGATTTTGAATTGTTCCTTTACATGGGGGCAAAGATCTGTATTGACTTCAAAGTGGCAGCCACATTTCTCTTGATATTAACAAGCTGTTACCTGTCATTGTCCAGTAGTAGATCTAAGCCTTCAACACTATTTAGTGTTGTAGCAGCTTGATTTTAAATTTAAAAAAAACAATCTATTTTTTATTTTATTTTATTTTATAATTATAAATTATAGGGAGGGGATTCTATATTTTTAACTCACCAAAGAATACTTGCTTCTGAATCTCTCAAAGATTACCCCTTCAGCTCCAAAATAATAGTTTGCCTGAGAGGGTAGAAGGCACATGGCCCAAATACTGTGTAGATAACAATTGTAAGTTTTTTAGCAATTGTAAGAAACTGGTACTCTTTCGAAAATATATATATATCTATTAGGTTTTAATGAGTGTGAACGTTATTGTTAATAAGACATTTAATGTTGTGCTCCCCTTTACAGGAATGACATGCCAAGCTAGAAGTTCTTACGTTACCTCTGAGATCCTTTGGGGCCACCGATTCACGCCGGTTCTAACACTGGAGGACGGTTTTTATGAAGTCGACTATAACAGCTTTCATGACACTTACGAGACAAACACTCCGTCTTGCAGCGCCAAAGATTTGGCTGAAAAACTCAACAGGGCAGAGATGCCATTGAGCTGGTCGGTCTCAAGTAAGCTCAACCAACAAGCCGAGCTGGCCATCGAAAGTCAAGACAAAAATCATGAAGATCAAACAGAACGGAATGGGGACGTGGCAAACATCGAGAACGAATCTAAAGTTTAAGACTATCACCAATGAGGGTATCTCATTATGGAGTAAATAATTTGGTGGGAATTCCCACAATTTCTGGAAGTGGATTGAATTACTATCCTGTAAAATTAGGTTGGCTAAAATGGCAGCACACTGAAAATGTAATAAACATATATGTACATCTACTGCGGATTAACATATGCATGTATTCTTCTCCCTTTTCTGACAGTAAACAGCACATTTCAGAAAGTGAGGTAAGGTAAAAAAAAAAGTACAAATAGCTGTTGTTTTCATGTTAAAGTTTAAAAGAAGACAATAGCAGGCTGGATATTGTGTGTCCTGACCAATCAAACCATGCTTTAAGGCCAAGGCAAAAAAACAAATCATTAGATCATACGAACACTGTATATATGCCTTATGTAATATTCTCTTCGACTTAATAATATGCCCAGCATGTAAAAAAGAAGCGTGAATGAAGCTTCTAAATAATGTACATACATGTGTAATTAATAATAGGCTGTCATAATTCTAGGATTAAGGTGATGCAAAAAAAAACAAAAAACTATATAAGATAATTTCTTCTTTCCGATATTTTTAATGACATTCATACTCCACGAATTAAAAAAAAGAGCAAATGTATACTTCAGTTCACTGAACTGGCAGCTATTTGAAGTACCTCGAGATTTTCTAACCAGTTTATTTACTCTTAACACTTTGGTTTCCAGAGGGGTGTGCAACGTAGAGTAACAGCATTGCGTTCCCCTCCCCTCTGGCTCACAAAGGGTTAAAGCCATAAAAGACCAATTCACGTGATTGTTAATCGGATCAGGGTGACAAACCTGTTATACTGTGAAACTGTTTACATATCGTTATCATTCAGATACATTATTCGTTCATCAGTCGGGTTGCCCATTGAACAGCAGAAGGATAAGTAGCATGGACAAAACGGATACTGGTTCTTTGATGTAAACCATAGGCATCAGAGAGGAAGTGGACATAAAAATTGTAAGAACAAGTTACAAAATTACTATGAAAGAGGAAATATGGGGCATAGAAGCAACATTGGTCCTGTTCATGTACTAGACAGACAGAAGATATTGGAAAGAATTGTTACTAAAAAAGATAAAAGATTAATGAAAAGGAAAGTGTAGACTAAAATGTGAGAGCTGTAGGCCAGAACATTGAGTGAGGATGATGCAGAATAGAACTGAAGTGAAGAGTTAACTTGGAACCAAAAGAGACGATGCATAGTCCACGTCACAGAATAGAACCACGAGAGACACATAAAAGGTACAATGGAACCATATGAAGAGAGAGGGAGATGTAACAGCCATAACCGGGAAAGTGCTGATGTTGAATATACCCATCAGACAAAGGTCAGAGTGAAACTATCAAAGACAAACGTCCAAATATAACTATCAGATAGCAAAGCTCTGAATGTAACCAAGTGCGGAATGGGATAATGATTGACTTCGGAATAGGAAAATAGAGAATAGAACTATAAGGTAAGAAGATGGGGAAAAATGCACTGTCTTTAAGTATTTCTATGGCTTTGGTTGTAGAGAGATATTCCCTGACGCACCGGTATGTATGTAAATAGCATTAGTTTCATTTAAATCTAAAGCCTCATTAAACTTCGAAAACCCCAATGAATTTTTCTTCCTGAAAAACAGTCTCATGAATAAATTTCATAGTACTACCACAACGTTCAATCCATGGAATCTAGTAAGGAGACAATTATTCGCTGGAAAATAAAAGATACATTTCATATATATGTATTGATTTGCTGCATGTCCTGCTGTTTACTTTAACAGATACCCTGGTAGGAAGATAATGGGGACTCGCATCAACCAAATATGATCTATTTTTTTAAACAAATATAAGAAAGAAATGATATATCCAACATCTAGACCCCGAGACACTAACGGCAAGCTAGAAGTACCTTTCCTGATTAAAATACTTTTATATTAAAATAGAAATAATTATTATTATAAATTCCAATCAATGGCAGTCCAAGTGCCCTTACCCATAGATTGTATATGGGCCACGTCCAAATCCAGTTCAACCCTACGAAAAGTATGTAGAGGTGTCAACATAAGAAAGATAGTGGCACAAAAGATATAGAGTGTTTATTATTAGTTTATGTATCTCGAAAATATTAAATATTAACTTATTCCATTGTGATAGACAAAGTATGAAAGTGCAATTTATCTAAAAAATAAAAGATAGGATGCCAGGTTTAACGTTGATACTTAAAAGGGACACTCCAAGCCCCTAAAGCACTTTAGCTTGCTGAAATGCTTTATCTTTTTCTCATTTTGCAAAAAGTACAGTTTTCAACAGAAATTTACACTTTTATATATTATACTGGTTACACCCCCTTGGCTTTTCAAGCAGACAACCAGTCCTGTTACTTCCTGGTAGTTTAGCTCAGTGGAACTAAACTCAAGAGGCAGCAATTGCCCTGAGCTCCTGCCTTGTAAATACTTCTCATTGAGCTGCATTGGAAAGTATGTTATTGGACAGCCACAGAAAGCCTGGGCGGGGAAACAAAGGGAGGGCTTGCAAAATATTCCAACAAGAGATCTGCAGCTTTTGCAGGCTGTTTTTATAAAATACCCTCTATGAAACCATCTTCAATTAAATGCACACACGCTTTCATTTGGGGTATGTCTACCAAACAGTGATTTTTTAATTTATTTTTGGGGGTATTTGGGTAGTTATAGTGTCCCTATAACATGTATAGCATTTATATAATTTATATGACATATATTACCTATAATGTTACAAATTGATATTAAAACAAAACAGAAAATCATGCAAAGTGAGAAAGGAGGCGAATACAATAGGAAGATAAATCACTCAAAAGTTTGCTATGCATTTTTGATGAAGAGGGTTTTTCTTTGGACTGGATATTAGGGAAACGTCTTAAGCATTGAGATAGAAGATTCTATATGAATGATTTACATAGATAAATGACACCCCTGTAGCAAATGGTCTGAGGCCACCAAGGTCTTCAGTAAAGGGTTTTTATCTTCAGTATTAAAAGAGAAAATTTGAGAACATTGTATAAGAGAGAGAGAGGGAGATTTGGAGCTGGCAAGAAGCAGAGAACTGGAAACGGTCATTAACAGAGTAGACAGACTGAGATGGAATTTACTAGATAAATATACTTCACAGTTATGGAGGACTATGCACTGAATAGAGAGCCACGTTTACAATTTCTGTCTAGGTATGTACTTTATTTAAGTTATGATATCCAGCAGTTGTAGAGTATGGCAATGATACAGTCTGAGGCCAAATGATGCGAGACTAGACAAGAGTACAATGCAATAGGGAAATAAATACTTCATAAATTAATATTTTGGTCTAAAGAAGTCATTCTCTAAGGATTGTTTTTAAGTTGGACAGTAGGAGGAGAGTCTATGGAACAAGATGAGGTAGTTCATAAAAATGGGTCAGCCCAAGGGAAGTCCTAAGAATGAGAGTTTGAGATGGGTGCAATAGAAGGACAGGAAAAGGACGCAGTGATATGGATTGCAGTCGCTAGTTTCAGATGATAAGCCAGTTGGAGTATGATTGTGTTGTTGGTGAAATGCACAATTTTAATGAGATAAATGAATAGAAACGTAAGCCGAACAATAGCATTTATTATTGACCTTAATCCTGACGAGTGAGGTCAATGAAGAGTGAAAATTTTAAAAATAGGCAATTATCTTTCTTATATCTATATACATTTGTTCTAAAGTGAACTGGTCAATTTAAAAAAAAGTCTACAATACTTTTAGCAGTTATATGTTTCATGGTTTTAAATCTTTCACTAGGTACACTAAAACTATGTATACTTTGTATTTATTTTTATTTTGCACTACAGTTACGGTCACAAAGCACCACTTACGTTTTAATTCTCCTGGAATGGTTTCACCCTGAGGGGAATGATTTGCTCAGCCAAGGGTCTATTTTGTCCTTTGAAACTCTGCAAAAGTTCAAAGTGACAGCCCCCCACTTCCAACTCCAACAGTAAAGTAAGCCTCAAGGAAGAAAACATTATAGCTGTATTGTAATAACCAAGGGAGATTTAGGGAGGACTCGGATGTCACTCAGAGGTTGCTTGCTATAACACTTTTCAAATTCCTGTATTTTACAGATTATTCGCTATACTTACTGTATGTTGGCATTATTCTAAAATACATCATTGTTTTATATTCTATTGCCATTTTAGCTATCTATATTGCTAATAATTCCTTAAGGGTCCATTCAGATACCCATTAGCGGGTTTATTTGAACATGTCTATGTATCTGGTTTTGTCAAGATATCGTATGTGACAAAAAATGTATTTATTATTTTGTTCACTTCAAAGCCAACCTTTTAGTAGCTGCGAAAAATATTGCAAGATAAGGACAACTATATAGCGTCTATAACATTACACCCCCAACATTTCTATAAAGCGTGAACGATTAAAAAATGTAAAATATTTATAAAAATGTTATCATGCAAATTTATATATTAACTATGCATCCCATGTTTCAAATAAATGTTATGCTGCTATTTCACAACAAAAAGAGGTTAATGCATGTCTATTAATATATTTAATCACATTCTTTACCATAGGCGTGCACAGCCTATTGCATTAGGGTGTGCACCCTAAAGCACAAACACACGCTGCATGTGTATACATACACACTTATAGGCACACACACATACATTCACAGACACACACACACACTCACAGACACTCACACACATTCATAAATTATTATTTTTTAATAAAAAATTGTCCACCCAATCTCCCTACCTGGAGAGCTGGCGTGGACTTGTCCCTGGGGTCCAGTGGGTCGGGCGCCTATCTCCATACAACAAGCGGCGAGGGAGCTGTGTGCTCTCTGCTTCCTCTCGCCGCGCGGGCTGTCTGCTGTAGCTGGGAGCCGGAATATGATGTCATATTCTGGCTCCCGCCATCAGCAAACGGCGTGCGGCGAGAGGAAGCAGAGAGCACACAGCTCCCTCGCCGCTTGCTGTATGGAGATAGGCGCCCGACCCACTGGACCCCAGGGACAAGTCCACGCCAGCTCTCCAGGTAGGGAGATTGGGTGGACAATTTTTAATTGCATGTTTAGCATGCAATTAAGCATGTTAACCATTCTTCCTTTGACTTTAAAACACTCCAGCTTGGCTGATTACTAATCAGAGCTCCAGTCCCTCCTAAACTGCAGTGTTTCTCTGTTCTTTACATTAGGAAGCACACCAAAGATTTTACTGGGCGTTTTAATTTAGCAAAAGGGAGCAGTGCACATCACAAATACATAACAGGGTCATCTGTATGAATATATTATTTTCAGTCATTACAATCAATATCACTACAAACGATCATCAGCATGCGTGGATAGTATATATATATAAAACACCCAAAAAATCATTAAAGCATACAAAAATTAAACATAAGGTAGAGACGAAAATCCACTTAAAGATATTGGTTGCTAATTAATTTTAAAATTGAATATAAAATATGAACACCTCATTTAGACCAATCTACTTATTTTGGTGCTATTATGTATTTTTCAATCTAAGTATTTTTTAAATTAGAATACCCATTACATCACCTGAAGCTTAAATAAATATTAGATTTTGGTTTAAATTATATTGATAAAAAAACGTTTACAGGTTGCAAGGACACTGAACTTAAAGAAAATGCAAACCAAAAATGATTTATATAATAAAAAATGAATAAATATAAAAAGGACACTAAATTAAGCATGTATTTCTCTCCCTCTTTGCGTTATCAGTGGAGCCCCAGAGTTCTAAAGCGGCAATGGTGCTAACATATCTCTAGCACTATAATCACTACAGTGAGCTGTATTCGTTATGGAGTTTGGGGTGCTTGAAAAATGTTAGCCAAGAAACCTGGGGGGAAAAAAATCTCCAATGTGACTGTATAGTACATTTTGATTTTCTCTTATCGTTTTTTTTTTTTGTTCTCTTTTTTCAGTGTTACTTTCAACTCTCGGCGACATACTGTTTGGTGAATAGACCCCAATCATCCGCCAGTAGTGATGTCGCGAATTTTTCGCGAACCGTTTGGGGCGGACTCCAGTCAGCAGACACATCCTGGCCAATCTGCAGCAGACCCTCCCTCCCAGACCCTCCCACCTCCTGGACATCATCCATATTGGAGGAGGAGGGTCTGGGAGGGAGGGTCTGCTGCAGATTGGCCGGGATGTGTCTGCTGACTGGAGTCCGCTGCAAACAGTTCGCCACGAACCGTGGCGAACCGTTTGCGAACCTTTCGCAAAAAATTCACGACATCACTATCAGCCAGTTATATCCCTAAAATAGTGATCATACTAACAGATAATCTGATTGAAAAGGCAAAGTCCGTGTTAGTTTCATAGGATAACGGACCTCCCATTGTAGATTATAACATCAGTTAGACAGCCATGTGTCTTGTTTTGTATCTGCAGAGTTACATAGTAATTTAAGTTTAGAAAGGTACCGTTTTTCTTTTTTCTTTTTTTTGCTTGTATTTTATTAATTAAATAAGGGTACATGCCCCAGCTTTCAGCCTTGTACCCTCTCCCTCTAAATCGTTTTCCAAATTTTATTTAGGTGTAGAAATGGACTCAAATACATCAGATACGTCAACTTTTCATATATCCGTTGTGTTTGCTGTTGATCCAAAAAAAAGGAGGGAAAATCACAATCTGAAGTATCTGCTAATTATTTTTAATGTTTTCTAGGAAATTCTGTAGTGTGTAGAGTTTTTGCATGAAGTTGTGAAGTTGGAATGCATAGGGAAACTAAACATATATTAGTAAAAAAAAATACCAAAAATAAAATATCTATTTCAGTTTCATTCAAATTCAGAATGTTTTCACTGCCCAAAATAGTCCGGCAGCTCGTTTATTTGACTTTTAGTTGGTGCCGCTACAATATTTAAACGATAGAAGTTTTTATATGACAAAAAACTAGATTGCTGAAGTGTTTTGAAAGTCTGGGAATACAATATATTGAAAGGGAAGCTGAAACATGACATTCTATCTCTTGTACAATGCATTATGGGAGTTGTATTTCTAAAGGATCTTTAGTTGTGATGTTAAAAAATTTAAGAAAATAAGAAGTCATTAAAAAGATAAACATTTTCTAAAAGGTAAAACACTTTTTGTGTAGGTACTTTTTGTTCTTTAAAAAAAAATCCAATGACCTCTCTAACTTTTAAAGTCTGCCAAGTAAATTGTAATATTATAAATAGTATTATATAGCCATATATTATAGGACAACTGAATTATGTGCTTCTAGCAATAAGAGAGAACAATGGCATTTATTGAATGAGTACAATTATGTTAACTGAGCAATAGTATTTCTGATTGGTACGCCTGATTTACGTACTTAAAGTACATTTATTAATATACAGTGAACATGCCTTTATACGTGTGATACACATTACATCTCTCTTGCTCAGATCATGATTTGAGGATACTTTCCAAAATATTTTCTTAACCATCAAAAATCGTTGGGTTAGGTATATAGACTATAACCATTCTACTTCCTGGATACAAAGACTTAAGGGAATTTTACACGGAAAGGCGGAAAAATTAAAGTCTAATACCATGTATCACCATGGAGATTACAGCCATAACTGAGGTGTACGTGGAGATTTATCAAAGTAATTCAAAATTCTAACAAGTGGGAACATTCCTTTGATAGCTATTGCACTGCATGGACAAACATTTGTCAGCTATTTTTAGGTGTGATCCCCAATAAACATGTTTAAAAGAATCCTCTTCTATGCTTTTTACCCAGTGTCCCAGTGGCATTCAGTAGTAATTCCTACAGAATATTCTGACCTGTGAAAGTCATTAAGCGACAAGATATATGGGATATTAATACCAGTGATCTTGTTCGAAACCACATCACATCTTCTCAAAAGTCATTCTACTATGATTTGCTAAATGTATCTCACGTGTAATTGATGTTGTATGTGTGGCTTTTCTTATTTCTCACAAATGTTACATAGTTTTTACTTCTATAAGAGATGTCCTAAAATGCTACGTTAAATAGGTTTTCATGGTTTGACATATAAAGACAGGGCTGACCCTATTTAAATGGGTAGGATTCACAACAATTCACAAGTATTAGCCATTGAGTTTTTATATTTATTAAATAACTAGCAACTATTTTAGCTATGGTAATCATTATTTAAGCATCCTTTGTTATTATTTTAATTGTGAGTGCTTACCGGGCATTTTAAATGGTACTAAAGTGGTGTTTTTCAACATTTTCAAAGATTAATCCTACAATTATCAATAAGCTTTCTTTATACAACCCTATCACTGGAACAATTGTTCAAATTCACCAAATCATTTGCACAAGTTATACACCAAAAAAGAGCAAATAGAATGCCCGGCTCACAGTCTAAATGTCTTCCCAAGTCAAAGAGGTTTACCTACTAAATGGTGAGGTTAAAAAAAAATCTCAGACTTCGAGATTTTGTTCCATTTAATTTATTTTTGACTTAAAATATGAAAGTTGCTTATAAACACTTCATGACTCACTGTTTACTTAATAAAACAAAGTTTTTCTGATATTTCTACAGAGTACCATTCTTTCACGGTTTGCATATATTGATATAATGGCGATTTTCCGATCTGTCAAGAGCATGTACGTCAAAACAAATGTAATTTGAACCTTGAGAAAAATACCTATTCAAATCGATATACTGTATTTTATATTTTTTTCTTGTTAATAAATGTATTTTGATTATATTGTGCATGCTGTTTATTTATAGCTTAATGTACTCTGTTAAATGATTTTATTTTTTTTTAAAGTAAAATATTTGTTGGTTTGTTCCTTTGGATATATTTTTTCTTAAACTAGCATCTTCTTTGAATATTTCTGTTACTCTAATTACTTTTATCAAAATTAAGGGTGAACTGATAAAAAAAAAAAGAGAGAGATTTAGGAGGAGTTACACCTGTTTGACCAACATAAATACTAAATTATTATTATTATTATTAATATCAGAAGCTGATTTATAAATTGCTAGCAAACTCAACAAGACTGACTAAATATTCATACGTGCCTTGTACCACTTTGCAGCATCTGCTGGACTTATCTTAAACATTTGACCACTAGCCGCAGTTCGAATCTTATGCAGAATGGAAATTTTGGTGCCTTTTTTTTTTTTGGACACGTAGTGATACATGCTTAAAGGAACATGCACTTAACCATGATGGCACGCTATATTCAATAAGTTGCAGGCAGTGTCTTTGAGCCTACCAATGTCAGTAGTTAAACCATTTGCTAACAGTTTAAGGTCAGCAGGGGGGAACGGTCAGTTTCTCTATGAGTAGGGTTACCATATCCACAATGTTTTCTGGGGCAGATATCTCGTATACATAATGATGGGCAGCAGTCGAAAAAGGGTTGCCCTGTAGTATGTATAATTCAGAAGAAGGTGTATAAGATTAAGTAATTAGGCAATTAGGAAGAATCCTGCAGAATATGCATTATACATTCTGCAGGGCAACCCTTTTCATGCATTTTCATAAATATGACAAAATTATGTGTGTCCCTGATAACACAGTGGATCTGGTTACCCTATCTATGGAGGCAGGAGCTACCATTAACTCTGATATAAACCCTGCACGCTGAGCCATCTCATTGGCTGAAAGCATCTGCTAATCTTCCGTAGCCAATGAGCTAAATCTTGCACCAGTGCTAAATAAGTAGCAATCACCATGGGAACCGTTTTATGGGGCAGATTTATTAAAGCAAAACAGATGTTATTTTGAGTGCAATGTACTAAATGCAGATAGAGAGATTCTACTGGTTACCATGGTGACTGGAACTTATTAAGCCCATTGCACCCAAAGAAACTTGTTTCCCATTGCGTAAAAACTGTGCAGTGTGCACCTTCCTCCCAGCTGTAACCTAGAGTAGACCGTCTATCCCCCTTGTTACACTACTGTCTCTGTATACTTAGCACATTCGTGTTGTGTTGTGTATATCTCATCTGATAGTATTCTCATGTATTTTGAATCCTGGAGACAGAGCCCTGGGCTGAAACTTTAAAAAAAAACAAAAAAAACAATAGAAGCACCATAACAACTACAGTAATTTGGCTAAGGTGCAAGGAGTGCCCTGGCATTAAGAGTATTTTTCATTCTGTTATGTACATGCAATGTACACATTTAAGACGTCACATGTCAAACAATGAAGGAGCCCTGGTGCCGCAATACCTGGGGTGGCCAAACCCCAATGCCAAACCAGATACAACTGAAGAATGATGTTTATTTTCAAAACTGATATATTTGCTTATTTAATTTTTTTACATTCACACCCTCTGTCCACCACCCTTGCCCACCCCCACACAGGTGCTCTGAGCCTGGAGATCTGTACAATCATATGCTTCCCTAGGAGAAGCATTTGAATGGACAACGGAGAGGGAAGGGGTGATGACGGGCAAGGCATGTAGACCAGCACAGGCACCTTAGCCCGACAATGGATTCCAGGTAAGTTTATCCTTGTTTTACAGGTGTATAAGGAATAGTGCCCAATAGGTCATTATCAATTAAAATACATTTATAACAAAAACGGTTGTAGTAACCCATTTAATATACATTCACATGTAAATATTCCCACTATCAGCGAGTGGAGATGAGGTGTGTTGAAGATTATTAAAGGAAGATACACCGGTCTCCCATGTTAAATGGAGGCTCAGTGTCCTATGAGACGCTGCACACAGGAAGACACAGGACTGCGAGTATACGGTAAAAAGAGGGAAACATAATGTAAACATATACAGGGTTATTAAATAAAATGAGAATGTCAAAATAGCTAAACAGAAAACATAATTGACTTGGAGCATGTTTCTAAATGGGCGATTTGGGTTTCAATTTTGAAATTTTTGAATTTACTTTGAATTCTTTGCAATTCTCACTTTTGTGAAGTCTAAAACATGGGCAACTGTGGTAAAAACAAATAAATCCCTAGTGTCCATTTTCCTTCTTAATATCCTTCATAATGAAGCATGGACGTGAGTTAATAAGAATAGAGCGGTGGATGTTGCTAAGCAACAATGGAATGGATAGAGTATTTTACAAGATTAGTCACTGAGGCAAAGGCATGAAAGATACTATGCAACAATTAGATACAAGTGAAGTATCTATAAAGTAAATATATTCAGCAGAGACTTATGGGAGAAGAAAAAAAAGCCATAGACCAGAATGAAAAGCTCCTGATTGGTGAAGCCAATTCCCGGTCATTGCAAACATTGGTATTATAGGAAGCTTAAAGGGGGAACTTTTATTGTTTTTTGAATAATTTTATAAATGCTAAATTTATACAGTAATTAAAAAATTGAAGCTCATCTCCTGCATATTGTGTCTTTTTAAAGGACAATGTGCTAGAATCCTTGAATACATCTATCTGTATGAACTATTTGCAGGATTAAATGATGTTCACTAAATTGTGGATTTAAAAAAAAAAAAAAACACTAGTCAGCTACAACATTAAAACTATATGCCTAATATCGTGACGGTCTACTTAGTGCTGCAGTTCTGACGCGTCGAGGCATGGACTCCAGAAGACCTCTAAACGTGTCCTGTGGTATTTGGCACCAAGCCATTAGCAGCAGATCCTTTAAATCTTGCAAGTTGCGAGGTGGGCCTCCATGAATCAGATCTGAATTTCCAGCACAACCCACAGATACTCAATCGGATTGAGATCTGGGGACTTTTGAGGACAAGGCAACACCTTGTCCCAGTCATGTGCATTTTCCTGCTGAAAGAGGCCACTGCCATCAGGAAACACTATTGCTATGAAGGAGTGTACACAGTCTGCAACAATTTCTAGGTAGGTGGTGCATCTCAAAGTAACATCCACATAAATGCCAGTATCCACGATTTGCCCAGAGCAAAACACTATTCTTCCCATAGTACATTTTGCTGTCATTTCTTCCCCAGGTAAACAATGCACATGCACTCTGGTATCCACTTATCCTAAAAGAAAACGAGATTCGTCAGACCAGGCACTCCAGATGTTGTGGACCACAAGTTCCATAATGCTCTTAAAACAGTAATGCTGGCAAAGCATTAGGGGGAATGCAGTTTACAACGTCTGGAGTGCCGACAGTTGCCTACCCATGTCCTAGACAATAGTGAGAGGCTGTGGAGATAGGTGGAACTATTGACAATTTTAAAAGTATGATTTTGTAGATGTTCAAGAAAACCAGTGCTTTAGTTGAGGAAATAAACAGTTATATACTTTATCATTTAGGGAAATGCAATCTATTTTCTATCAATCTTACTTCCAAACTGATAATGAATAAAATAGTTAATTGTGTTCTGAAGTACTGTAAATTCCCTCTTGACCCCCAGTCAGATGTCTCCTTGGATCAAGCGGCTATTACCCCACTAATTAGATATTATATCCCTGGATGGTATGCTTTTGCAAGTATTTATCTAATATCCTTATAGTTTTTACTGTAAAAAAACCTTTTCTTCGTCTTAGATTAAATCTCCTTTCTTCCAGCCTAAATGTGTTACCTCGTGTCCTATGTATAGCCCTGTTTATGAATAGAAATCCAGATAAAGGTTTGTACTGACCCCGAATATATTTGTATAATGTTATCATTTCCCCTCTGAGGCGCCATTTTTCCAAACTAAAGAGATTAAAATTTTTTAACCTTTCTTCATAACTAAAATGCTCCATTCCTTTTATCAATTTTGTAGCTCGTCTCTGCACTTTTTCTAGTGCCATGATATCCTTCTTTAGAACAGGTGCCCAAAATTGCACAGCATATTCAAGGTGTGGTCTTACCAGCGATTTATAAAGAGGCAAAATTATATTTTCATCCTGAGAATTTATGCCCCTATTTATACATGACAAATCCTTACTGGCCTTAGCAACTGCAGATTGACATTGCATATTGCTGCCTAATTTGTTGTCTATAACAATTCCCAAATCCTTCTCGTGTGTGGTTATCCCTAATTCACTACCATTTAGTGTGTAAGTTGCTTGTGCATTCTTTACCCCGAAGTGTATAACTTTGCATTTCTCTACATTAAATTTAATTTGCCATTTTAGTGCCCAGTCCCCCAATCGATCTAAATCCCTCAGCAGCAAAGTAATATCTTGCTCACATTTTATTACGTTACAAAGTTTTGTGTCATCTGTAAACACTAAAACATGGCTTTCAAATCCTATTTCAAGATCATTTATAAATATGCTAAATAGAAGCAGTCCCAAAAAAGAACACGTAGGGACACTACTTACCACTTTTGTCCAGCTTGAAAATTTACCATTACTGACAACTCGTTGTACTCTATCCTTAAGCTAATGTTCTACCCAAGAACAAGAATATTCATCTGGACCAATTTATTTTAGTTTGAAGACTAACCTATTGTGAGGAACCGTATCAAATTCCTTGGCAAAATCCAAATAGATCACATCCAGTGCAACACCCTGATCTATACTTCCACTTACTTCTTCGTAGAATGCAATTAGGTTAGTGTGACATGACCTATAAACCTATTTCATAAAACAATGCTGATTATTGCTAATAACAAAGTTCTTCCCAATGAATTCCTGAATATTATCCCTTAATAGTCCTTCAACTATTTTCGCAGTCACAGAAGTTAAGCTCACAGGTCTATAATTTCCAGGCAAGGATTTTGAACCCTTAAATAT